GGGGGGGGGGGGGGGGGGGGAGGGGGAAGGGCCAGTCAATGTCAAGAGGCTTAATATGGGCCCAACTAAGAGAGAGGAAGACAGAGCTGACAGGGCAAAAGCCAATAAAATGAAAACTTGCAAGGCGGAGACAGTTATACGGGCCAGCTGCCGTCTTCTCCCTGAGATCCTCCCCCTTTTCTTTTTTTCCCCCTCCCCCCTTTCGGCGGAAAAGTGGGCGTCGGTTTCTGTGTGTGTCCGGGACGGGTCAAAGAAGAAGGTCGAGGACGGGTTCGTCTAGATGAAAATGAGCTCATGAATTATTCGCCAGCTTATGGGGGGAGACGGACACTATCTGGACTCTTCACCCCGACAGCGACGGGACAACATCATCTGCGACCCCGTGCGTTCCAACCCCATCGCGATAATGGGAGAGAAAGGGGAGAGAAAAGGGAGGAATCGGAGCCCTGTGTACTCGATCTGGGCCTGTGTGAGAGGTTCCCCCAATTAAGATTCTTAATCCCGGAGAGCTCGGTCGTTAAATGTAGAGGATACTGGAATGAGTTCATATTCCCTAGGCGATAACGATGACGGTAATGACAGGGGGGGAAGGTCTAATTTGCCTCATTACTCCAAGATATTGAAATTCCTCCGGGGCTTCCCCTTCATATCCTCTTCTCGACTCCTTTAGAGAAATTCCCGGGCGAGTCCCGATCCTTCCCGGACGCGATCACGGATCAGGTCTGATTTTAGATTCTCCGGGGAACAATAAACTCCTCCTTAGCGGCATGGTCCTTTTTTCTTCTCTTCATATATATTTTTTTTCTTTGGTATCGCGGGAGGGAGAGGTCCAGCTCGGATCGGGTTCTCTGGGGGGATTCATTAGTTTTGTCTCGTCTTGGGACCCGGATCCCATGTGCACCTTCGGGTAATCCCATCAAAGACACCCTCGATGCATCTCAGTCTCGGGAATCCCTTCGATTGATCATCGATATCGGATTTCCGGATCTCCCTCTCCCTCTCTGCTCGTTTGTTCGGGAAGCGAGCCAAGGACCCCCATCGAGTGGAATATTGGGGGATCCGTCTCGAATTTGTCTCGGATCCATCTCGAATCCCGTTTGGAATCCGTCTCGAACGTTCGACTCCGCTCCGAACCGTCGTCGGCGGACTCAACGGGTTTTCCGTCCCCCCCCCCCCATCATCTCCCGTCACGAGCACGATGACGAGTTCTCATAATATGAAATGGAATGGAGGGTCCTTTCCATAAGAGAGGGCGGAAGCGGGTTATGGTGTGTGACCTAGACGAGGCTTTCATAGGCTCTCGACCGAATTTCCGGCGCCTTCAACGTTTCGCTCGCTCTCTCTCTCTGCGCGGATTCATCATGAACCCGGCCGAAAGAGGGGAAGAAGAAAAGTCGAAGGAAAAGGAGAGGGAGAGATGATCGGGTAGTGTGCTCATCATTCATATGATTCAATGCAGCGGAAGCCATTTCTCGTCTTAATGGCCATTTCCAAGCCATGGATTCGGCCAAAAACGAACCAAACGGGCCTTCCACGATCTCCGTTGCCTTTTATGGTTCCAGCATCATCCTTCGAGTCCACATCATTCCCTCTCGGTCCGCATCATTCCCTCTCAGCCGACATCATTCCCCCACTTCGCATCATGCACATAGAGACGCATCGCTCTAGGGAATTCATATGGATTTAAAGAGACTAAGGACGAAGGGAGACAATGATCGAGATATCGATTTCCCCCACCACCTGAGCAAGAAAAACGCCAGAGGATCAAGGGATTAAATGCCAAGTCTTTGGTATAAATCACAAGGACGTATAAATGTGCAGCCAGATAAATTAGATGTCATTCTGGATGGAAAGGGGCGAAATGAGAGAAAGAGGGGGGGGGGGGGGGGGGGGGGCAGCACATCATTGTCACACATATACACGCAGCCACAATGACAGTGATACGGAGAAAGGCCAATGACAGAAAAACAAAGCCGGAAATCCGGTGGTCTTCTCTTTGAGCAAATCCAGGCTTGACTAGAACCGAATTTTTTTCTTCTGTCTTCGGCGTTGGACAAGCGTTGTACTCGTGAAACATGGGGGTATTCGGGTAAAAAAAAAATTATAATAACATTGTTCCCAGCGACTTGATCCCAGACGCACACCGTTCTCATTTACACGTACACGGCCATGAATCACGAAGAAATAAATACGGCCAGAGAATGCAAATGCTACGGGCTAGTTTGGAAAACATCACAGTCGAGCCTTTCCTCCTTTGTCTTTTTTTTTCTCTCTTCTTCATCGTCGTGAATGCAAGCGTATGATGGGGTGGAAACAAAGAGAATAATAATTATTATTATCACACCATTTCTTCGGGAAGCGAATTGACATCGAAGAAGGGAATGGAGGCGGCCTCCATGCCCTCGGGCGGAGTGCGCAGGAGGCCACCCGTCGCCGTCGTCAGGCTACCCGTCGTCGTCGCCGTCCCCCCCGTCGTCGCGGTGGCGTTCAACACGGTGACCACACTGCAGTCGCTCTGCGACGGCGACACGTCCCGGTCCCGGATCTCACTCGACCGTTTCCGATACTGGACCTCGGAGACGACGGCCGCGTAACTCCGCGCCAACTGGGTCTCGTAGTAGGACGGTGGCCCGTGACGATTGAAGGTGGCGTAGAGGACGGCCGGGTGATGGCCCAGTTGACCCGATTCCCTGCCGAGGCCCTTCGGTCCACCTCGATCCAGCGTCCTCACCGTGCTGTACGACACGCACTGTTGATCCCACGACCAAGGAGACTCCGTGGCCGAGAACCCCGGTTCCGAGTAGGAGGAAATCGGTCGGCTCTTCAAGTTCTCGGCCCAGGATTTCGTGTCTCCGCTGAGGACGGCTGCCAGGCATTTGCACAGGACCAGATAATCCTCCTTTGGAGGGAGAAACATCGACGTCAGATTCATCAATGTCCTCTCCAGACGGGAAAGGGAGAGAAAAGAAATGAAGAGAAAGAGAAAAGACTGACCGGTCTCTTCCAAGCGTTCGGTCGAGCCTGCTGACACAGAGTGGCCTGAAGGAACACATCAACCGAATTCTCGGACAAGTATTCCTGTCTGAGGGCGTGGAGGCAGGCCAAGAGACAGCCTTCTCGCCCACCGTATCTACAACGAGAAAAGACATCCTACCTCTCAAAGATCGATTTTCGAAGAAAACTTCTCTTTCGTCTCGACGATGACCCACCGATCGACGATGAGAATCGGCAGCGGAGCATCCGAGATCCTCTGCAGCAGCGGCGTCGGATCCCTCGTCTCCAGGTACGGAAATTCCAGGAGAGTGACCTGGTGAGAGCCTTCCGTGTCCCCCGGGGGAGGCGGCCCGATGACCAGGCGGCGACTCGTCACCCCAGTCCCTTCCTCCACGGAAGCCGGGCACTGAAGCCTCACTTCCACGCGACCCATATCCATCGGCTCGCTCTCCTGCTCGGGGCAGATTGCTGGGAAACCCTGCAAAGGCACCCACCGATTCACGGTGCGACGGAACAAAAGCGAAAGCAGGGAGAAAGGGAAAAAGAGAGGAACCTGTGTGGGTGTCTCCAGGACGACTATGGTCGAGACGTCGTGTTCCCAGACCAACTGCCAGAACGTACTCAGGGTCTCGATCAGCGGATGTTGCGTGATGATCATCTCACGACTCGATGTGAAACCTAAACGACGCCATCGACAGACAAAAAATCAACGTGAGACTCCCCTCCGCCTCCACCTCCACGCCGACGCGAAAGGCTCCTACCTGTCAGCCAGCTGGCGTTGATGAAATCGCTGCCGGGGACCCCGGCGTCGGGGCTGAGGTGAACGCGACTCTCGTCCAAGGGGATGAACTCCCAGTGCCGGTTCTTGGCCGCGTTCACCGTGGCCAGCGCCGCACTCGCTTCTGCATCCACGGGGCGGAAACTCTGAAGCAACTGCACCCAGAAGCATTCCGTTAGCTCTTCGTTCGAGGAACCGGTTCATATTGGACTACACGACCACGAGAGTATCTAAACTACGTACATACGATCGACTCAAACATATATATCCTGAAAAAAATGATATTACTTATGCTGAGATGCTTTTGAGATTGAAACAACACGGACAATCCCAGGAGTCATATTCCTATAAAATGAGAGTAAGGGTGGATTTTTGAACAGAGAACTATCCGATGATGCAGCTTTATTTACCGGATTCATAATGCATTTTTTCCGAAATAAAGCTGCATTATCGGATAATGCTCTGTTAAAAAATCCACCCTTAACTTATTCCTCCGAAATTTTAATGGGACATGGATCTCGGGTGGTAAATTTCCACGAACTCATTCATGAAATGTGGAACACTGATTAATTTCACGTTCCAAGTTGCTTCCCCCCCCTCCCTAAGAATTGGAACTCGTTCTGCCACCAAGAAAACCAAGTGAAATTATTTCGTGCATTTTCGTGTATTTCGTGCAACGCGCGATAGTTACTTCCGATCCCTGACAATAGCCAGTGGTGACGTCTTACAAGAACTTGAGACGCATCGACGACTTCCTCTTTGGTTCCAAACCAGACCATTGTTTTAGTCGTAATCGATCATCCACGCTAAATATCGCTCCATATCAGAGGCCGCCGCACCGGTCACCCTCCCAACCGGGAGGTCAGAGCGGGAGGGGAACCCGACACGAACGGAAACCGTCCCCACCGCAAGTCGGTCGGTGAGTAGGGGTCATCGAGAATTCATGTCGCGTTCCCCTGTTTCCCCCTCCCCACCCTCATGTGTTAGTGTTACCACCCCTTCATGGCTTTCATCCGCCCAGATATTATTTTGTTATGGTGGATCGTGTTCGGCATTCTAGGCGACGGAAATGATTGCCACGGGCTATTTTAGATATCCGCATAGGAAAGGACATGCATGTAAAAAGCAGAGAAGAGATAAGCTATTCCTCCTCCTTTCTCATCTCTTTCGGGGAAGAGCATCGCGTGCAATGAACTCCCCCTCCTTTTTTCCTACTCCCTCCCCTCCCCCTCCCTCTACTCTTTCCCTCGCGGCCGAATGTCTTTTGATGTCCGTCCCTTGCTTATCTCACTTTTCTCACTTCCTGTCCTTCCCATGATAGGACGTGGTGAGGGCCTTTATGGAGCACCTAAATCCAATCCCTTAGTCTACAGGGAGGCGATAAAAACCCGAATCTCCCCCAGTCGGATATCAGGGGGCGAAAATTCTTTTCCATTAGACGATGATCTTGAGAAAGCCTGTCGAGATCAATCTAAGGCAGGTCAAAGATGGGGCTCGTGAAGTAATGGCCGACCACCGGGGTGCGATAAGGCCAAGGCAGAGGCAGTTAAACCTAGCGGGGAGATTTTTACTGTCCCTGCACACATTAAGGGAGATCTAGATCATATCGCATCAGCATATGAGAGTTTCTCTCTCCCCCTGCCTCTCGTCTCTCCCGTTTCCATGGCTCCGAGATATTAAGAAGGAGATCTCCGATATTGCGCCACAGGAGGCCATCCGATAATATAGGAGATGAAGCAGCAACGGCTGCAAGAGGGGACTCAATATTCATGGGGCGAGTCTTTGACACAGACCAGACCGTTTCCACCCATCTTCGTCCCAGGCAATTTCCTAAACAAGGTCTGTCAGAAGCACGAGCCGGACCCAAGAAAAGGAAAGAATGAACGATGACGTCAGTTGAAATGTGGTTATCGCCTCTTCCCTCGCAACGAAGACTAATGCAATGACGGCAAAGGAAGAGCTACAACTCATAGTGCTCCTTCTCCCCGGCTACAACCTTGCCATGGACTGAGTTGTGTGTCTATGTGCTAGACTACGTGTCCACACAGAGCAAGGGAGGAAAAGGAATAGAAACGGAAAGGGAAAGAAAAGGCTATTTATCGATTTCGTGATGGAGGAAGGGTGGTCCGGAAAACTTGCCTCCACCCAAGTATCCGATTGATGAGAGAAAAAGAGGGGGAAAAAAAGATGGAACGAAAGCACAACCCTGCACTTTCTCCTTCAGTGATCAGTCTGGTTCCACTCGTTTCCTGCTCTCTTTCATCCGGATTTTCGACAAAAATCTCTCTTCCGCCCCCCCCCCTACCCCCTACCCCAAAGAAAAGTACTTTTTTAAAAAGAGAAAGACAAAGGGAACAGACCTTGAAATGCTGCAGAAGCTGAGACTCGGGCGAGGAAGAAAGCGTTTGCACGTGTTTGTTGAGCGCCTGCAAGGTGAAGTCGAGCGGACACGGACGTAACTGGACGACGGCCAGGAGAGCCTCGTGGAGGAACACGTACTGTTCCTCCGTCTGCACCAAGAACGGTCGCTGGGTCCTGATGCGACGGAGGAACTCGTAGACGCCGAGAGCGTTCTCGCTATCCAGCTGCTTCAGCATCGCATCCAATACCATGTACGTCCCCGTCCGACCCACCCCAGCGCTGCAAGAAGACGCGAGAAGGAGAGAGCCGTGTCATTCCTCACTCTCGACACCGAACCGTTCGGATCGCGCACCTCGTGCTGACGTCACTTTCCACGTCCCGCATTTCGATACGGGAGGCAACCAGAGGCGTCACCACGAGCGAGCGATCCGATCGGTGCCATGCACACTTCCACGGAAAGTCAATGATTACTCCCGCCCTCGTGAAGCATTTCAAATGTCTAACCTGCAGTGAACGAGTATGGGCCCGGCACCAGGAGGATTGGCCTTCACGGACATGCGGACGAATCGAATGACGGGGAGAGGATGGGATGGAGTGCCGTGATCCGGCCAGGCCGTGAAATGCCATTGTTCTACTCTCCTCTCTCGACCTCCACCGCCTCGCAGCTTCCCCTTCCATCACAAATCCCCATCAACGCGGTCATTCCAAATTCCATTACTGCCATAGCACGAGGATTCCTCGGTCACGAGGTCGAGGTCTTACGGTTGCCCTGGAGATGGTGAAATGGCGGATGGTGTATGAGGCCCGGACGACTTCTTTCGTCGACTTCACTCGGATCCCACCGTACACTTGGCTTCCTTCACTGGGCCAGTATTGGTCGCACTTCTTCTGAAACGAGGAATATGGGAAAAAAAAATCCCACCCGTCTGGGTTAAAATTTCCATCCAAATCGATTCTTCCTTCTATATGCTTCTTTCCCATCATTTATCCCATAAGACTCTGCACGAAAACGGCCTTGAACAATACCCCGCATTCTAGGAGGAAACCCTTATTCCAGCACGAATCTCGAAAGGTCGGCTCTGCATGCGATGCCGGTCCACGATTTCCCGATGAATCCCTCTCGGATGCGAGAGGGGGAGAAAAAAAACGCGCCCATTAAGGAAGACGTGCATGATGAATGGATGCAGGATGAAACTAAAGAGAAAAGAGGAGGGCTCATGCATTAATGCATTATGCATGTTAGTCTCGGCCATGCATTCAGCAGGCTGACACGAGACCGATACAGGACGCTGACGGATAAGCCAAAGCGTCCTCTCGGAGAGGCTAAATGACAGCAAATAGAAGAAGTCGGAGGGAACGAACCCAATTAAAGTCGACAGATATCACAGAAGAGAACGAGCAAGGAAGAAAGAGGAAGGAGGGAGATGTCTCAGCTGTGACACAACCTCTTTGATTAATCGGTTATCGATTTGTGTAGGCCGCGAGCGCAGAGCTCTTTCTGCCCCGGGTTTCATCGTTTCTTGGGCCGAAGCCCAATAGCCTAGCTGTCTTTTTTTTTTCACAGATGTGAAAAGAGGCGGGGGGGGGGGGGGGGGGGGGTGGGGGAAACATGAGAGAACGGGGAAAATTCTGGACAGATCGAAGAAAATGTGGTCTCCATCATCGAGTCTATGGGGGCTTGGCCTGCACGTTCCGGGTTATAACTGTCACTTGGAAGCCTGGCAGACAGGAAATGAGATTCTTGACATAAGGAGGGAAAAGAAGTGGGGCGTTCGCCCCCTAACGTAATGTCTCGGACAATCTTACTGAGGAAAGCACGGAGCTTAATTGGAGGTGGGCTGAGCGGAAAAAGGGGGAGCACGCATTCACATATGAGGCCTTTGCAGCACGTCATGTTGTATTGACACACACACACACACAGTGTATATGGCCTCATCAAAGGTAGGGGGCTTTCAGCGTGGACCTTCAATTACAGGAGATCGACACGCAAAGTCCATGCAAACGCTCCCTGGTTCAATCACGAAGCCAGCTCCGTTCGGCCCTACTTTTGTACGTCGGTCACATTTGATACGAGCTAATCATACTCCTCGGCCCCCATCGATCCACTTCCTTTAGATCTATGCCGGTACCTCATACGAGCAGAAAGGGACGAAAGAAAGAAAGGCTCTTGTCTTCGCCTATCAGAACGGAAGAAAGGTTCTTGTCTTCGCCTATCGCTCAGCATACACCGAAACAAGGGAGGGTTTTCTAATCAACCGACCGGAACCCGTCCTCCATTTGCACGCGAAAGTTCCCCCCTCAAAGGGGAGGCCTCCTCCCCATCGCGCCCGGGATAAGTCTCACATAAGCCTTCGTGCATTCTTCGGCCGGGATCCGTCTTTGCCTTTGCTTCCGAGATCCGTCCGGGCTTACCTGAAGAAGCGGGGAAGTCTCCTCGTTACTTCCATCGTCCAATTCCGTCTCCTTTGTGCAGCAATGAAAAGGGAGAGGACAAAGAAGACGAGGAATGATGGAGGACATTGGATTCAAATATGCAATTAAGGGGACGGGGGAGCCCTCACAGAGGAAATTGATATCCAGCACGAGCAGCTGCTATGTGGACGCCAATGGGTTAACATTATTCCTCCCACCCCCCCACCCCCCTCTTCCATTTAGATTATTGAGAGAGTTGAAAAATGGTTTTTGGGCCGGCCCATACAGGCTTCCACCATTACATGCAGTTTCTATCCCAGCTAGAAGGGCACAAAGGCATCAAGATGGATTTTAATCAAAAGAGACGAGAGTCTAGATTTCCCTCATGGCCCTGATTTCTTTCTATTAAAGGCATGATCATTGGAGAGAAAGAGAGACCGCAATCCTAGTAGAAGCAGGAACGGAAGAAAACAGAGAAATACGTGAGAGAGGCTGCAACCGACAGACACTTGGATATTTTCTCGGTTCCACATCGGTACAAAGCGGAGTATTATGGAAGGAAACAAGAAATAAGGAGAAAAGAAGGGAGAGGGAGGAAAAAAAGCGAGGCTTTGTCTCCGCTTCCTTGTACCAAAGACAAGAGACAAGACCAACACACTCACGAGACAGAAGAGGACCGAAAGAAAGAGACAAAAAAAAAAGAAGGCAAAGGAAACGGAAGAAAAGGAGGGGAATAAAAGAGCGACTGAAATGTGCAAGGAGATTATATTAAAGGTCCTGAAGCGCATCCGAACCCACTAATTTAAGTTGAGCAGAGTTACTAACAGCTCAAACTTCTCGGCACACGACCGATCGAGTCGAGGATGCAGTCGCGGCTCGACGCACGCGACGGAAGTTCCTCCAGGCGCTTCACGACACGAGGAAATGGGGGAAGGGAGGACGACTGCGATCGGAAACGCCCGGAGAGTCGGCTCGCCCGCTGAGACGACCGACCTCCCGGTCGGGTCTGACTCACAGGCTGTTACGACCGGCATGCGGGGAGGGGGAAACAAATGTGCGAAAGGGAAGGAAATAATACGAAATGGGAGTAAGGGATCCCTTGCCTTCCTTGCAAGAGGGGGAGGGTTCATCTTCTTCCTTGTTGACGAAGAATTTTCTATTTATTCCCAAGAAAACCCATGCAATCTTCTCTCATGAAAAGCAATATCCTCTCTTCTCTCACTCCCTCTCTCTAGTTTCCCCCGTTCCTCTTCTCTCTCCAATCTCCAGATGATTACAAGAAGAGGCCCGGGTACCGAGTAGGGCTCTCCCTTAATACAGACACCCCTCATGGTCTATATGGCGCCATACAATGCTGAATGATGACGCGAGCGCTAGGTTTTCCCGGCATGGCATCTCATTGTCATAATCGCCTGGCAGCTTCCCAAGAAAGAAACTTCTCCATCTCTCCCCCCCCACCCCCCCCCCCCTTTCTCTCCCCTCTTTCCTTCATGACCCCCACATTACGGTTGCTAGACGGGGAAAAGGCCTCTGACTCATACTCACCCGTCCTCGTTCGATGAGGTTCGTGATCATGACGATCGTGGCAGTTCTCTGCTCCCAAACCATCTGCCAGAAAGCCCCGAAGGTCCCTGGCAAAGGTCCTGATCGAAAGAGAGGGCAAGGCTGGAATAAGATAGAAAAAGAGATCGAGAAGACGGATGATGAGGACCATCCTCACCTTGGGAGGCGATGTAAGCTTTGTCCTTATCCCAACCGTCCACGTAGCTGGCATTGATGTACTCCCCCTTGCTTCGCTTCGACGTCGACTTCAGCTTCACCAGCGAGTGATCATCTGCATTCGACAGCCATGAATTTTAAAAAATCATCGCTACACGAAAACACCTCAGGCTCGAGAAGCTAGAGATGGTCGTACATGGCAGGACGTTCTGATAACGGTTCTTGCTCTTGTTCTCGAACAGCGCCGCCGTGTCCGCGGTCAGATGGACGTCGGTGGCGTCCTGAAGGGCACGGAACTCCTTGGTGAATCCGAGCCCACCGTCCGCATGCAACTGGGCCACGTGAGCCGGAAACAAAGCGACGGGGATGGACGCGGTCGCCGCATCTTCACCTCCGACCCCGAGCCCGACCCCTTTCTCCGATCCCCCCGTGCCCGGCTTCCCATTCGAGTACGGCTGCCCTCCATTCGCCGTCGTCTGCCCTCTTGCTCTCGGTTTCTGGTTCCGCCTGCGGTCGAGTTAGAATGAGAACGTCTCCGCCGGATCCCAAGCCGCATCCTCATCCATTCAGACAGTTTCGAATCGATGTCATTACGGACGGAAAAACCTGACGAACTCCGGGATGGCACTGTGCAACCACAATTCTTTTTATTTGCATACAAATTAAATTATGCGATCCTTCCGATCCTCCCGATTGACAGCCGAGCCTCCACGTCACGGCATGAAAGACACGAAAAATAAGTATTGGTTTCATACTAGCGTCGCACCCTTTCATTTGGAAAAAAAAACCCATCGACATTAGAGACGATTGGATAGGCTTCTTCCCGTGGAAGGGGATTATACCTGCCCCAAGAAAAGAGAGTGGAAGAGACATATAGAGGAATGAATCTCATCTTTCATCGAGATCGATTGAAATTTCTGATTGGATCCCGGCAGGGTTATCGGATCATGTTCTAGAATTCCTCTTTCAATAGACTGGAGCTCTAAGAAATTGCTTCTTGCTCGAGGAGTCTAAAATTAGCAAGGGGCCGAGGGAACTGGGGGGTGGGATGGGTCATATCAATATACGCGGGATCTCGAAAAGAAACCCCGAGACGACATCTGACAGCACTGGCGTTCTGGTGATGACGTCACAGCGGGGAGCCCCTCGTTAGAACTCTCTCTCTCTTTCTAGCCATTGAGCTTTATGGCATCCAATCTGGGATAGATGTGCCATAGACAAGGACATTCCACTCGTCTCTGTGCCAGCTTTTGGAGGGGGATGGAGGGGAGAAGGGAGACAGGACAGAAACTGCTTCCAGCACATCGAACAACGGCTATGACTGGATGAAACCGGACCCCATTCCCCAGCTATGAATCCAATTTATCACCATTTCCAAGATAACGCAGTTTCCGCTTTTCTAGGCAGAGTAAACCACATACGCAACATTGTGAACATTTTCTCCACATTTTTTCTCCTTTTTGGCACGTGAACCTACACACCGAGTCGTTACATCAGACCGGTATGTCAACACCGAGCCTCGAGTAAGTTTACGGTTTAACCAACCGTTAAGTAAAATCACGTGCGTGTTAAGATGTAGGAGTTCCATATACTTATGAGATGCTCCCCCGGACGATTCCTCATCGGTCATCATCATCATAAACGTTTTCATCGAGTGGGGAGCATGAGGGGGCTCATTGGTCGGGCCATAAAAGCTGCCTTGTCTCTTGCCGGAAGTAGAAGCACCCCCGCCGAAAGCCCTCTTTCTCAGTCTCTTTTTTAGCCTGCCCCCCGAATCCCCCCCTCCCCGGACCCTAATGGCCGCGAGAAGATCCATAGAGAGCAGGGAACCCGGAAAAAAAGGGATCTTCCCCGACCGTCGCTCTTAATGACTCCTCCGACGGTGACGGCAACACCAACAAAGGTTCCTTACATCGGCCCCTTCCCCCCCCCTCTCCCTGTTAACTCCGACGCTCGAGACTCGACCGACGAGGAACTTTTCACTCACCTCCATATGAGGAAGGCAAGGATGGCGAGGATCGTGGCGAGCAGCCCGGCCACGGCCCCTGCCAGCAGCGTCGGGCTCAACGGGAAGGACAGCGGCAACGAGGGGCTCGAGTCCGCGGCCACCCCCTGGTACGAGCAGTCCAGGGTCACCACCACCCCTTTCGGCTCGGAGAAGGGACCCCTTCGGAGGACGCTCGGGTCGAAGAGGCTCCGCGCGGCTCCCGCCACTCTCACGTGGTACACCGCGGGAGTCAAATTCCCCAACAACAGCTGCATGCAGGAAAACATCACCGATATCTTTTACTCTAAAACAATAACAAAAAGCCGCAGAAAGTTATCGGCCTCCTTGATAGCATTGACAGGAACGATAAGGCTTACGCCTTTACAAACGGTCCCCCGTTAAGCATCCATTACTGGAACATTCTCATGGTGTGAAAATGACCGAGCAGATAATGTTAACGACGTCCGTAAGGATAATGATAATGACAGCACATGAGCATAAACGTACTGTATTTTCTGCCGCAGAGAACTTTCCCTTCGTTATCGTCTCGACTTGGCCACTCCTTCTACCCATTGAATTTTTCAAGAGTCAGAAAGGCAAATGACAACTTAATGATGAGAAGTAGCTCCATCCATCGCGCCTTGCTTGGAGTTACACTTGCAGTTACTCGGAGTCCAGGATGAGCCGCATCGAAAACGCAAATGCATGTGAACTCCAAGCTGGCAGTGCAACTGTGAGACCTGAATGGAGCACTCCAGTAGGAGATGGAGGCCAGTCGAGGAATGGGAACCTTCTTCCCAGCACTATATTTTACTGCTACCATCATAAATTATAATTTTTGCAAAAAATTTTTCCGTCTAGGGTCCATACTCGGACGAACATGCAGCTGACACCCGACCTATAATCACAGAGTGCATCCGAATGCGAAAGAGGCTCGCACGACGAGCAAAATTGAACGGAAAATAATCCGATAATGAAACGTGGAGACGGACCGAGTGAACCTTGTTCTCCAGGGAAGTCGCGACCATGACCTCCTCCTCGTAGTGGAAGTCCTCGGCCTCGCTCTCTCCCAGATACGTCACGTAGTAGAAATTGATGTCCCCGTGGATCTCGGCCGGCTGGGCCCAGTAGACGAGGAGGGAGTTGGGGGCTTTGCACGTGGAGTTGAGCACCCTCGGCTCCCCCGGGGCGCCGATGTCCGTCCGAAGCACCGTCGGCTTCGACGCTTCGCCCTCGTGTCTCCACGTGAACGATTTCACCCACATCTCGTAGTCCGTGTACGGCTCTGCAAGCATGCGTTTTTATTGCAGTCACAATTTACAAGCTGCAAAGCAGCCACTTATAGGGGGCGAAAAAAAGGGGGGTGGAGGAGAACTAGACATTAAAAAAAACTACCAGATTGCAATTAATACTTGGAGTGAATTTACAGTAACTTTTCAACTTGGGAAAATTTGCAAAAACAACGAAACTACGAGCTGCAAATGTTACAGTTCCTTTAAACCATGTACATGCATTTGCAGAGCAAGAATTGAAGGGTGTCTCTCACTGAGTCCTTCCAAGGCGTAGTCGATAGACTTGGGCTGATCCTTCAACTCCTCCAGCCTTAGAGTTCGGGCGTCCGTGAAATTGTTGTGTATGAAATAGACTCGGTAACCGTGGAGGATCCCATTCGGGGTCACGGGTGCACTCCACCGAAGTCGCACCCACGTGTCGCCGATCTCCAACACGCTCAGGTCAACTGGGGGTCCAGGCACTAAGAAAAAAAAAAGGGGTCAACGGGGGAAATTTATTTTCCCGTATGAGGAGTCCCCTGCCCCCCCAGAAGGGGGTATCGATAAAACCGTGAGGTGGGTCCGTCGGGCGGGGGGCATTCAATGACATGGCATACGGGTGACATTCAGCCTCTAATGAAAGGGTACAACACCCGTAGCCGATCCCTATCTCCCTTGTATCGGATTAATACCCACTACAAGAGTATAGGAGACATTGATGGCCCGAATCATCCTCACCTACCCGCAATGAGGTTCTGTCACAGAAGGTCTGTCTCTGGTAGGTCTACTCTTCCCATACCCCTCCCTCCTTCATTCCTACCCTCCCTCCTCTCCCTCCTTCATTCCTACCCTCCCTCCCTCCTTCATTCCTACCCTCCCTCCCTCCCTCATTCCTACCCCCCTCTCCCCACCAATAGAAGAAATGATGGCATGATAAGAACCTACCTCCTTCGTCGGTCATGACGATGACGGACGCTGCTGGTCCTTTCCCCGCCGGGTTGAACACTTGCAAGGACACCATGTATTGCGTGAAGGGTCTCAGACCACTCAGGACATGTTCCTGAAGATCAAAACTCGATTATTACTCTCCGAATCCGAGTATCTCACGACAGGTGCGAGAAAGCCCGTTAGCGGTGTGCTCACCCGAACGCTCCGATCGAGAACTTCGACTTCCCGGGTGTTCGTTTCCGGCTCGTCCCTCATTCGGTAGGCAATTCGATAGCCGACGAATTCCCCGTGCAAACTCGCACTCGGAGGCGGGACCCAACGGAGCAACACGGACGTGGAACTCTCGTTCGTCGCCAGCGTTATCGTCGGCTTCCCGCTCGGAGCTGCGCGAAGACGAATCGTGTCATCTCGGGGCGAGGGGTGTTGGTTTTAGGGGTAAAAATCCCTTAAAGCGAACGAATGATTTAATGACGACATGACACCTCTGGGGCAGATGGCCAAGAAGGCAAAAGCCCCAGCCTCGAATTTCCGGGTCCCTACGGGGACCAGAGGAGACCATTAAAAAAATCACTAGGAAGCCAAACCCCTTACGTAAGAAGCATTAAGTGTGGCGTGGGAGGGCCCACGCTCTTACAAAACAAGGAAACAAGATTCCGCCACTTAAGAATAGCCTGTGACGACATTCGACGTTGAAGGGCACACTATGTCATTTCCAAGAAGCGATTCTTATCTGGACCTCACTTTTACAACACGAGACTGCACTTATTTCTCGCTTCCAAGCGTCAGACGAGATCTTATAGACCGCCCTTGAGGTAAAAAAAAAAAGTCCTGCTGCAGAATAATTTTATTTTTAATCAACGGAACAATGTTTCTGCATCTGCCTTATACGATTTCCTGGGAACAGGTCGGTTCAGAAGTAGTTTCCAGTCCTATTCTGTGAAAGCCGCGCGTTTTTGACCGATATCAAGTACTTCGCCTCTTTCCGAAATAGATGAGTGCTTCTGACTCTGAAAGCCACACATCCGCGGCGAGGCGAGACCATCAGTATCTCATTCACCGTAATCGGTCCAGAAGCATTTGCTCCTCGGATCTTCCGAAGTGTCGAACCTGAACGGATTGGGAGAACTTGCCAGAGTGAGTAATCCGCTTTCGGAGATCCTGGGTTCACATAAACACCAGCTATGAGGGTGAAATTTTGTATTCAAGGACGTTCTGCACAGCGATTCGATTCAGCCCGATTCAAGGCACCATAGTGAGTCAATATAGTGCCTCGTAACGGCAACTCACCCTCTCAAAAGTCTGCAGGTCGATACGTGGACTTCTAATTATTCGTGGAATACCTATTACAAGCCAAAAAATAATTTCCTCGGGTGGAAAGCTTTTGTTCAGGTATGGTGATAGCAGTGCAAACCCATACGTATCGATGTCGCCAGGCCCACTCTCCCTCTGACCCGAGGCTATGCATAAACGCGGTGTATAATGAAGGAGTCATGTAGGGATTGTCTTTACGCCTGGCATCCCGTGACTGATTCCTCGCTTGATTGATAGGGTCCTGTGACGAATCCCTCTGGCCCCCTGTGGCCCGATGCTCGGGTGACCGGTCCTCGGTCCTTGGTCCTCGAGCCCCGCTGCCATTTGGCATTCCATTTCGTGTGACACATGTCCTCATTCAAAAGCAAATCCAAGTTCGAGTCGCAAGGATCTCGTGGGGCGATACCGTGAAGTCACAAGCGCGACCGATCTCATTCTACGTTTCTAGGCGTCGACTTTCGCAGGGTCAATCGCTAAGTCATCCGCGTTCCTTCTTACCGAACGTGACCCATAACAATTGTCGTGTCAATCATTTTAGGAATTTTAGGGCATTTAGGGACGACTTTTTAAAAATCGTCTCACGCCCCCTCCCAGGATCACCGAATGGACACGATAAATGTAATCTTTCTCGACACAACAGGCATCATGATATCGTCGGTCGATTCTGGGGGGGGAAAAAAAGTCAATCTCCTCTTACAGTTTCATCCAGCGCCATACTTTCCTTCCTTTCCTTTCCCCCCTCTCTTCTCTTCTCTGCTCCAACTTTTTGTCTTATTCCTCGCCTCAACTAAGAGTGGCAGCAGCTCATTTGCATATGGGTCGATGCCGCATGAGATGCAGAAGTGGAATCGCTTCTTCTCTTTCGTTTTTTATACTTCCCTCTCGTCCCCGTCTTTCTTTCCATTCCTCAGATTTTTTTTTTCTTCGTTCCCTTGGAAGGAGAGAGGGAGAAAGGGGTTGGAGGACTCACGTTCCCGGAGAGTGATGATGGGATAGGAAGAGCGTGACGGAGGGCTCATTCCCATCGCATTCACAGCCATCACTCGGAAGCTGTAGACGGTGAATGGATCCAGGCCCTTGATCTCCACGGCCAGCGTCTCCGACGGCACCTTCAGCTTACTCTCCTCTTCCCACGAACCCATATCTCCCACCCTGGCAAAATAAGGCAACGACTTTCGTGTTGCAATGCCGAAAGGCAACCTCTCTCGTTCATTGGTATTCGAGGGGAAACAGAGGAACTCGGGGTTCCCCTGTTTCACCTCGCCGTGAAGGATAGCTCTCCCGAGGGCGTTCCGGGCTCGGCCTACTTTCACGAGCCGCTAAATTTAGCGATTCGTTAGTTTTGAACGTCTCGGGTTTCCGAATCCGATGCGTCAGCCATGCAGGGGCACGCATGGAACGAAACAATGGGGCTGTGAATAGGGCATCAATCCCCGACGGAAGCATCCACGAGGAATGCGCCGCCGCGAAAAGAAAGAACGAGGCGAAACGGCCGTAAACAAGACATGGGTGGGATATGGTTAAGAAGCGTGTAAGGATGACGATGATGAAAGCCGTAATAGGGGATCCTAGGGGTCAGGGGGCAACGGTCAACACTCGCAGGTTACGCTGAGAAAGGGAAAGCGAACATGCACCAAGACCTACCAACTCCCTTTCCTCTCTCTTCCTGTCTCGGTGCAACCCCATCCCATACGAAAAATGAAATCGCCCGGCACTCAAGGACATATCACGATCGAAAAGAGCGTACTCGAGCGTTTCAATAGCTTCCGTTAAGGCCGTCGGCCCACCTGAGAATAGGTTGCGGGGGAAAATAATGGCACCAAATGCATTTACGCCCCATTGAGTAGTACAAGCAGCAGCAGGGAAACCCTGGGTGGCAAATGCCTTCAACCTCTTCCCCCGAGGCCTCATTCTTTCCTCATCCCCAACGCACGACCTCGAGCTCCCTTTCGATGACGACCCCATCTCGGCACCAAAATGGGTTGGAGTCCCATTTCCAACAACGGTTGTCTCCCACCAGCCATCGACAGAATGAACCTCTTATGTTCACGGGATTCACAAGAGAGATCGGTTCCCCAGAAGGCCGACATAAAAAAGGCCATCGCAGAATAGAGGGAGTGAGGCTGACAGGAATTTCTAACCAGGGGGAAAAAAATGGGAAAAGTGATCCATCGTCGCGAAGACGAGGGGGGAGGGAGGCCCACATACCACGACTTCTACTTATGATCCCTCTCATTAATAAATCCCTCATTAGCCGAGAGCCTAATGCCCTGAAAACTCTATTTGTTTTTCTCCCCTACCTCCGCTGGATGACGTAGTTTCTGATGGGGCTGTTGTGGGAGGAGACAGGGGGAGCCCAGGAGAGATCAACTGCTCTGGAGTTGAAGCCCGTGATCAACGGTTGACCTGGAGGTGCTGGCACATCTGCAATGAGACCCATCCACATGAGAGTCATTCAACTGACAAGAGCACCAGACACAAACTTGACTCGGGACCCATACCCCCCCCCCCCCCCCCCCCCCCCCCCTCATGGGGTCAACATCTGCTTCCTCTTCCCCCTCGCTACATTCATATTCCATATTTTCCCCCAAAAAAACTTTTCCTCGTCCCCAGAGATTCGAGGGAAAAAGCCAACCTTCCAATTCCCCTCTCGTTCTTCTCTTCTCCCCAGATGCACATGAGGGTCGAGAGATACCTCTTATACGGCTGATCACATTAGGGCGCATTTCTTTTCGGAGATCCGATATCGATCACACTTTATCATGACGGGATAGCCCGCCTCCCATCCCTTACCGATTTTTCTCTCTCTCCCCCTTGAATCGACAGTCGGCCAACGGCACGTCGGCGGGAAAGTGTGATTGACTTGTTTACCCTCGCATTCCTCCGATGCGAGGCATCTAGGAGCTATGCTCGCCCTTCCTCACATTCCACCCTCACGGATGGAGACCTTTATTCCCGCAGTGTTGGTATATATAGGGTGAGAGAAGTGCCATCTGTGTCATGAGGATGATGGATCAGGTGACATGAAACACAGAGGGGAGAGAAAGATCTCCCCCACCTTGGCTTAGGGCCTATTTCATGCATCGCCATGCACAGGGGAATCATCCCCTCTCCTGCTTTTGTATACTCTGTTTACCCTGTGTAGAATTGAGGTCCCTCATCCCTCTAGACCTGCACCTGGGGCATTTTTGTATAAATGATGCAAAAAACAGGTAACCGAACATGTGGTAGGTTTAACGTAATTCGTGTTGTTTGCAGCGTATGATTCCTGTTTTTATTCAATATTTTTTTTTCCTTCAAAATTTAGCATCTCGTGCCCGTCATGCTCACACAGTAAGTTTGCGTCCTGCAGAGTGAATGGTGGGAAATTTCACACTCTTTCCATTTCTCCATCTTCGGGTTCTCTCTTTTTCACTATTTATACCTTACAAGTACACCGCCCATATTCTAGTCATTTTTCATTCGTCTGGGCTATCTGCACTTTTTCTTTGTCCTTGTGGGTGTTCATGGGATTCTCTTCCTAGGTGAAGCGGGGGGTCCCAGTCTGCCGAGTCATCCCAGGGACTCCGGACTAATCGAACGTCCAGGGGAGAGGAGGAGGAAAAATTTTTTTTCATGAATTATGGAATCTAACAAGTGGCTTTCCCTCATTTTCCCCGCTCGGCTGGTTCGAAAAGAAAAAGAGAGAAACTATGAGGATGGGGGTGGTTGAATGCAGGGCACATGGGTGGCTGACCACCCTAGTCGAACCACCCCGACAAAAGCCTTGGTATGTTAACAAGTGTGCGGCCCCGTGCCCGAGCCTATTCACTGCATTGTCAAGACCTCTATTGTTTGCATTTCCCCAGCCCGTGTTATCGTGTTTTCTCCTCATTCATTAGAAAGAAAAGAAGACGGATAGGAAAGGAGAGATGCGATGCCATGGCAACGTCTCAATCATCTCGTCGCAACCGGATCGACATGTACTTACACCGTGGAAAAGGATCAAATAGCTATTCTTACCTTGTACGAGGAGACGCATGATCGCCTGAGGTCGAGGTCGATTGTTGACCAGGCATTTATAGTCGCCAGAATCCCCAGGGCTGACCCTCTCGATATGAAGGCTATGGGCATCCGAGGTGAGGAGGCTCAACCGGGGGCTCTCCTTCCACAGCTTGCTGGAGTCCCCCTCGAACTCCAGGAGTTTCACCTCCTTCGAGGGAGAGGGGAGCGTGTGGACATCCGTGGAGCAACCACGGCACTTCCAGCCGAGGGCCAGGATGAGACTCTGACGGGTGAGGCCGGGGCACGCCAGCGTCACGTTCTCGCCCGCTTTCGCGTAGATGATCTCCGTCGGCGTTTCCATACCATCTGCAACACATCGAGGCACGGAAATTCAATTATGCGTTTCCGAGGTCGATTGGGGAATTGGAAGGTTGGCTTTTTCCCTCGAATCTCTGGGGACGAGGAAAAGTTTTTTTGGGGGAAAATATGGAATATGAATGTAGCGAGGGGGAAGAGGAAGCAGATGTTGACCCCATGGGGGAGACCACCCCCAAACCCCATGGGGTCGCAGCAGGACAAATTCTGACAAGCTCTGTGTGGCACAATGTTATTTTTCTCTCTCCGGGGTTAATGCGGTGCTAACAATGAACGACAAGTCCGCATAACGAGCATCTATTCAACTTTGGGGCCCCATGCACAAGAAACAATTAGCCGGGGATTACGATGACTTCATCATCACCCCGCAGACGTCTTTCTCAATGCCCTCTTTCTCCCCCTCTCCCCCCTCAAATCCCCCATTAGCATGAGGAAACAAAAACACCCGATAGCTCCGACCGAAAATTTTGTTTACGACACATCCTTCATTCTCCTCGTAACCAGTTTAGGCCACAGTTTCCCCCCCAAATCCGGCCTGGAAATCCAATGTGTCAACACGGGCCCTTTCCCAGCAAACCCGGTCTTCGGGGTGAATCGAACTCATCTGCACTTCCGACGAGGTTCTCCCTCCCCCTTCCGATGCAGAATATTGCAACAGCTCCGGCGATCGTTGCCGAGTCCAGCACTGTTTTACGTGCCGATCTCAATCACATGCAAATCCCTAAATCCCCCCGTTCTTCCACGGTTGACAGAGGCGAAATTGAAAAAGAAGAAATTTCCTTGCACTTATATCCGGGGGATGGGAATATAAAGAGCGTCGGAAAAGACGGAATCCCCTTATCATCGACGCCATCATCATTTTTTTCATCATCATGAGCATCGTCGCACTCTCTTCCCATCTCTGCTTGAAAATTACACTCCCCCTTCTTCCTTTCCCTCCTAATCTAATTATCCGGAGGAAGAAGAATCCCCCAAAGGGAGTCAGTCGGGAGGGAACTTCTCTTCCGAGAGCGGATGAGGGAAAGAATGGGAGAGAAAATACTGGTAAAGCCCTCTCCTCTCGAGACCCATAAATTCCACGATTCGAGGCTTCAATTCCAACTATTCCTAGAGCAAGAGATTTAATTAGGAAGGAGTGCAGAAGTTTGCGGCGTCGTGGAAAATGAAGAGCTCGCACATGAACTTCAGAGCACCAGCAGCTGCCACCTTCCAGTTTCTATTAATGCACTCCTATCCAGCTGCATGCGATTTCGATTCCAATTATCAGCGTGACGTCAGCCGGATGCCTCCACGTGGGGTGGAGGATTACTGGAGATGGGAATGGAAGAGACAACTTCCTTTCTGTCTCTGATAGCGCCGCCCTCATATCCGCATCATCTTGATGAGCAAGGAAAACTTGTCACTAATGAAGACATCTCGGCCTCTGACCCAGTTTCCCTCGCTTTCGACGAGGGGGAAAGGGGGGGGGGGGGGGGCCCACGTGCCAGTATTCCACCGGGATGGAAAGGGGGGGGGGGGGACCACGTGCCAGTATTCCATCGGGATCGACAGCCGAGCCGATCCGAAAATCCTCCACATCACAACAAACCCATTTCTCGAGGCCCTCATTAGCCAACCCTCTTTCGCACCATCCTAATAGGCATGAAATACGATCCCGCCCCGTCATTCCAAATGAAGGAGGAAGGAGTTAGGGGTGTAATCGGACTGAAGGGCGCTCTTCTCGACTCCCTTTCCCTTTCCATCACGGAAAGTGGCGTGGTCATACGTACTGTATGAATGCAGATTCATCTCGTGTATTATTCATCATCGCTGGGGCCTCTTTCCTCTCTTCCTCTCGATGACAAACATTCCCTACGGTGCACGCAAAATGTATGCTCCGTTTTCCTCCGTCTCCGTCTACCCGATTTATCCGCATGAAATATGCAGCACCGAATTCGTGAAATTGGCAGGAAACTCTTCGTTCATCGATTTGGCGGTCAATTCGCCTCCCGGTCTCGTCCCTCATCGATTTCTGAAGTCCATTCTGAAAATTCCTTCCTTTCCGCACTCTCTCTCTCTCTCTCCCTTTGCCCCTGAAAAGACGTCCTATATGATGAAACTGTGGGATAAATCGATGCAGCGTATCCGCTCCAACTGTCCCCAAAATGGGTTCCCCATCCATTGCCATCATTTATTATCCTGTCGCCTCCTTGCATGGATTCCGGGAAGCCAAGAGGAAACTTGTCCATTCCCTGGCCTGTACTCTCGATGAAACTGTCCACACGAGGCTAGAATCCCGAGAGCCCCCCCCCCTCCCCCTTCCTTCTCCGGTCCCCCCTCTTTCCTTCGTTCCCTCATTCCCATCACTGTAAGTTGAGATGAGCCAATAGGGTGCATAATGGGCGTAGGACGGGAAGGCGGGATTGATCCAATGAAATCATTTGCCTCTGCGGTTTTCTGGTTTCCGGAGGGCCATAGATCCGGAAACTTTCTCATGGAATCAGACCTTAGCTAGCTGTCTCTGGAAGCGACAGCCATGAAATGAATCGCTCCCCTCCCACTGTCATTACCTACCTTTTCCCATCCCGGACAAACAATGCGGCCTCGTGTGACGGGCATCCGCTAGATCCCCTAGACGAGAATTCCGCGGGGGGAATTTTTCATTTTCACTCCCACTCTCCTCGGTACATTTCCTTGATTGCTTCACGGGAACGGGAAGGAGTTGCTTCCATAATAAACATCACTGGAGCGAATCATTTATCAAGTCCACCGCGGATAATCTCCTAATGCATGCTGCAGGTGCAACAAGGGGTCGGCCCCCGCTCGAACCGAGAGACGAACTGCCTGATCCGAGCCTCATATTTCAATACATGACTTCTTCCGGAGAATGGCGTTCGGCATCCGCTCGGATCGTGCGCGACGAATTGATGATTCAGTCTGAAGAACTGAGGAAGCAATCAAGCACATGTGTCGACGAGTGGGCAAACATCAGAGCGGGATTTGTTTGCACAGCGCAAAGATGCGTCGTCGAGCTTGGGCAAGATGTATCGAGAGATACAAAGGCATACATGGGATTTCTTGCTTTCTTCATATTCATATTTTGTTATTTCGTACTTACCCCTGCGATAGCGAAGCCCGGCCACCTGGCACCACGAACACGAGACAAGAAGCACGAACACAAGGGCACGAGCCCACATCTCCACGCAGGTTTTTGTCTTCTAGATTCACACTGATGAGCGAAGACTTGCCGAGTGAAATCACCCCACTCCCGCATCCATTCACACTCCTCTCAACTGAAAATGGGGAATTTCCTCACTTGTGACTCAAAGATAGCTTTCACAATAGCCGAATAGCCACCAAGCTGTCTCGTCTCGGACATTGTAATGGTACTCGATAGGTTTAAATCCTCAATCTGTGTGAAAACCAAGTCTACTTTTTTTTTTCTCGTCCCGTGAATTCTATTATTATTTATTCCCCTCCGAAAAAGGATCGTCAGACCACACCCTGAACACAATAGAGTGTTTCATCGGGACGATAAAAACAAGTCACAGATGCTTCCCGTGTTGAAGACTCCGAAATAAACACACTATCTATTAATAGAAACTAATGGCTATCATGTTCCTTTGTGTTCCCCGGCCAGGTATCGGCAGATCGAGGAAACGAGGACCGGCATTCTAGAGAAGTAGCCAGGTTTCGTGCTGGATGTCTTTCCAAAAGTTCCGAAAGTTCCGAAGTCCTAAAAATTTAAGAAGGCATGAGAAAAACATGAAACTCGGTGTTCCTACTGGAGAAGGTCCACACGCCTGGCAATGAGGCATCATCACCGAAATGACACGACTGAGACGAGCAAGCGTGATGGCCACACGTCACTTTCATGAACACCCGATGTTCAGATCCCCATAAAATTTCCTTTGTTTTCCGAAACAGAATATTCCCCATCTTACAGTGTTTTTCACTCGAGTTAGACAATATTTCACTTGACTTAGACACACGTCCAGGTCGAGTGGAAAAATGTCTGACTCGAGTGAAAAACGCTGTAAAACGACAACCATGAATTATTTGAAAGAACAATCGAGTCCTTCGAGCCTGAACCCTAGGGGTATGCGCCACGACACTCGCGCTATCGAAAGTTACTGTTTATCTACGAAGGGAAAATGTTGCAACACGGTTCTCGGTCTCACGTTTCTCCCACGAGCACAAAGGGAAACAATGTTTGCACTGATGACCGTGCGGCGTAGGTGCGAACCCCAAGAGCTGACTCGGTGAAAACGAAGGAATCCGAAAGGGAGAGGCCCACTCGCACTACTCCTCGCGCCGCGACTGCCACCTCGCACCACCCAAGCACGCGGCTGACTGACGAGAGTCTTCCTCGAGAGTGGTGGCCTACCCGGAGCGGGACCGGAGTCACTGCGCATGCGCGGTGGGGGCCCGTCACCTTCCCCGAGCCTCATAACCGGCAAGCCTTGACGTCTCCATTGTGCAGTTCTGAAAAGAAACGCCCCTTAATAAGGGCCGGAATATGCATATCTGGAAACAATGCAGCCGGGTCGCGGAAGACGAGGGGAGGGACCCTCGCCCCGGCGAGACGCCGATATTTCTCCCCGTCCCGTCACAACGAAGGCAGGTGCTTCGCCTAAAATAGAGTCAGCAATGCAGTCTGTGCCCCCCGAGTCCTTTCATCTAATGAGGCCAGGTGCCTACCGAGTGGGATCCCCCCCTGTCGCTGGAGAAAAGGAGCGGTAACTTATGGGGGTCCGAGATTGCCTGCCCCCGGGCGAGGGGGAAAAAATAACCACAGAATCGCACCATCTGTGCTTTAATTTCTCCGGCGGGACTCGAGAGTCGCCCCGAGGAGAAATCAGAGCAGAAATTCCCACATTTCGGCGGAAGTATGCAATTACGCTGATGGGGCGGAGAGTCAATGCCTCGCATCGGGCTTCCCCGTTTCAGTACTTCTCGGTGAAAGGAAGAAGCCAATCACGGCCTCGGACGCGTTCACATGCGAAAAAGAAAGGAAAAAAAAACGAAAGAGCAAGTGAAGCCCCCGGCTCGATGAGTGAGTGCTACGGGGCTTGTGAAATATCTGCCCCTTCCTTTTTGCTTTTTCGTTGCTGAATCCGAAGAGGGCGGATTTAGAGGCCATTGTCGTGGGAGGTTCACGATCGCTTCGCGGAATCGAGGCAGTCTTTTTCTTCCATTTCGTCGGGATCCCTTCCCC